GGTAAATTTCAAAATATACAATAATAGAAAGATTTAACAAACCCTGAAAGCTATCACCATGATTAAGGAGATAACAACATTTTGCCAGTCTTATCTATTCATTTTTGTTTTATTTGATTTTCAGTATTTTGAAACAAATCCCAGGCAGCATATTTTGTCATGAGATCCATCAGGAGGGAACAGTTTTTAACTCAATGCCAGGACAGGTACAGGGAAAGTGCCTGATCCATTGCTCTGGGTGCCTGGTGGCAGCTCCTTATCCAACACTGAGTCACCAAATCAAGTTCTCTGGTCAATATGAGGATTTCTTGTTTTAATGATGTCAAATGAAATAGAGAATACTAACATGCACTGCACATTGTACAAGTCAGGAGGATTTCTTGAAACTTGGAGATTTACCTGCATATACATATTCTGGGTTACAATGCACTCTGAAATACATTTCTTTCTGTAGATTGTGAAAAATACCTGGGCCAGAAGAAGTAACAAGAGCAAGGAGGGATCATTTCTGAGAAAAAGGAGATGCAGAAGAGAAAAATCAGAAGAAAAGAGGAGGAGAAAGAAGGAAGAAGGACTGAAAGCCACTTCTCTTTCTGCCCTCTGAGTTCCTGCTCCAGTGAAGTGACATGCAGCCCCTTCTCTGCACTCCCTCCCCAGGCTGGATGTGAGGAACCGAGGAACTCTAACGGGGAGACGTGTTCAACCAGACTTCTAAGGAAGAACTGACAGGGCTGACGACTCAAGGAGAAAGAGGCAGGGCTCAAAAGGAGGCTGGAAAGTCCAGTCTGGGTGTGAAGGAAAACGGGAACCCTGGATAGAGGGAGTCAGGTTGAAGGATCACCTGACTTGAACGGCAGAGTAAACTATGAGTAAATTTTCGGCAGGTTAAATATGAGGTAATGGGAAGATATTAGCAGCGTTCATTCTTCTAGCTGGCAATCACAGGTACAAAAGGGAGTCCGGATGAGAAGAAAGCACTGAGGACATGGTGGGGGAAAGTATGAGAACACAGGGAAGGTGGCAGCCAAGCGCAGGGCATCTGCCCCCAGAGCCAGGTCTGTGCTGCCCCCTGCTCAGCCTTTCTTCTTGTCAAAGACCAGCCCCTGGTGGCTGGGTGTGGTGGATCACACCTGTAATCCCAGCACTTTGGGAGGACAAGGCAGGCAGATAACTTGAGGTCAGCCTGGCCAACATGATGAAACTCCATCTCTACCAAAAACACAAAAATTAGCTGGGCATGGTGGTACGTGCCCATAGTCCCGGCTACTCAGGAGGCTGAAGCAGGAGGATCACTTGAATCTGGGAGGCAGAGGTTGCAGTGAGCTGAGGTCACACTACTGCACTCCAACCTGGGCCACAAAGCAAGACTCTGGGGAAAAAAAAAACTGCCTCTCAGGACTGCCTGGCTGTGTGAGCGGGTCACGTGTATACACACACAGGTGCAGTGAACAAGCAGCTACTCTAGGAGGGTGTGGCACCAGGAAGGGTTCGTTCTGCATCGGCCCTCCACTGGCTGATACCTTGGATGGAAAGCTCAGCTGACATCGAGGCCTTCCCTGACCCGTTCACCACCAGGCACGTGTACACTCCCATATCATCTTGGTTGACTCCATGGATTTCCAGAAGCTGCATCCCATTCTTCTCAGACATAGACACACGGGCACTCGGCTGCAGTGGAACATTCCCCTGTGGATGGCAATGGGGTAACTCGGTCACACAAATCTGCCTACCTTCTGGCTGTGTCCTCGTGCCTCCTGCCAATCCTGGTGGGACAGACTCCAGGGCCTGGGCAGCAGTGCCCTCTGCTCTGGGCTCTGTCAGTGTGCTCAGAGAGCTGACTGGACAGTTCAGGGACCCTGACTTGAGGTCTATGGATGTGATGTGGTGCTCTGTCCTGCTTAGAGCAGATGCCTGCAAACTGTTTCGAAGGAGCCTGAGTTTGAGGCAGGAAGTGCAGTATTCCTCACTTCAGTTTTTCCTTACCTCTCTATTCCTTTTAGTCTTTTCCTAGGGGAGTTCAAGACAGTTAGGAAGCAGGTAAAAGGTGTCAACACTCACTTTTACCCAGGGATTCCATCTCTGAAAAACCTATTCTCCCTGGCCATGACTCTACCTGTTCCCCACAGATCTTCACTGCCCTGTTTAACACCCACCCCAACCCCACGCCACTGCTTCCCTGCCCCCCCACCTCTCCCACTTCTGCTTCACTTCCCCCAGCACTGAATGGTTTATAAATCTCTTCCACTTGGAGCCTCCAACAATATTTTGAGGTAGGTGGAATTATTTCTGTCTCACAGATAAGGGAACCAGGGTTCCAAGAAATCAAATGACTTGTCCAGCTTCACAGGCTTTATAAACCAGGAAGCTGTAGCTTGACACCTAGTACTCTAACTTCACAGTCCACTCTCTTGAGATTTCCAGGCTTGTCTTGACTCAAAAGTTTTTCACTATTTTGTGAGTGTAAGAATTGTCAAAACACTGTGGCCTGAGTAACACAGGGAGAGTTGTAATAGGGGCAGGAACATGTATCACTAACAAATGTACAGAGAACCCCTGAGAAGCACCTGAAACAGCAGGAACAGAATGGAAAGACTCCTACTAGTTGAAGGGTCTAACCCTGAATTTGCAGGGTCCATAAGGCTGTGACATGGTTTGGTTGTGTCCTCACCCAAATCTCATCTTGAAATGTAGCTCCCATAATTCCCACATGTCATGGGAGGGAAGCAGTGGGAGGTAACTGAATCATGGGGCAGGTTTTCACATGCTGTTCTCATGATAGTGAATAAATCTGTGATTTGATGGTTTTATAAAGGAGTTCCCTTTCACATGCTCTCTTGCCTGCCACCATATAAGGCATGACTTTGCTCCTCATTTGCCTTTTGCCATGATTGTGAGACCTTCTCAGCCATGTGGAACTGTGAGTCCATTAAACCTCTTTCCTTTACAAATTACCCAGTCTCAGGTATGTCTGCTAGCAGCATGAGAACAGACTAATACAGGCTGGATCAGGGTCAGCGCAGACAGAAACCTCACCTTGAGCCAGGTGACCTACAGTTGGGGCCGGTGAGTAATCTTGCAGGAGAATCGTCCCATCTGTCCTTCTTTGACCACAACTCGGCCCAACTTGGTAGCAAACTTTGGTGGGCACTCCCCCTAGATGCTAGGACGGGTCTCCACTGCTGGAGCTGAAAATCTATCCCTGTAAAGACATTGGCAGAGAATCTAGTCCCAGACAAGGCAGAAATTGTACCCTCTTCTTTCCACCCCACCCAAAGGCACTAAGTTGGGGTCAGAAACCATCAAAGGATAGCGTTCCCAATTTTATGCCTCAGAAACTTTCTCATGCTCTCTCTGGAAAAATGTGTGGGACCAAGATCGATTTCCTCTACCTCTTGGGCATACAACTAGACTTCATTTACTAGCCTGCCTTGCAGTTAGGTATGCCTGAATTCTACCGAGCTCTGGCTGAAAGCTGGGGTTTTGACCAGGAGCCCATGAGCAGAAGAACGGTATGCCACTTCCAGGGCCACCTCATAAGAACCTCCTGTGAGGGTCCGCACAGTCTCTCATTCACTCTAGTGGTGAGATGCAGAAGGCCCAGCAGGGGCTCAAGGGCCTAGGAGATGAAGCTGTAAAATGGAAGAAGCCTGGGCTCCTAGAAAATAATGTGGAAGGCTCTCCACTTGTTCCAGGATATCTGAATTGAACTTTTCTTGAGTAAGAAACAAACTTTCACTGGGTTGAGCCATTGTGATTTGAGGCTTGTCCATTACAGCAGCTGCTGTTACCCGCCTCTTCTAGGTTTGCGTATTTCAGTCTTCTGACTACTGCCTTGATTGTTAGAGTCCACTGCAGACTATGGCCACCTCTTCCACCTCCTTAGCATTTAGCAACTGGGCCAGTCAAAGGGGCCAATGACAGAGGCAGCAAGGTCAGGAGGTGCTGCGTGTGAATGACACATCTCATTGCACTAGGCCCTTTGGTTAATATAACCTAGGAGAGCCAAGAATTACTCCCCAGACCTATCCTGCTCAAGTCAGCAGGAAAGTGATCCAACCCTTATTCTGTCTTGAACATCAAGGACTTACCCCAAGGTTTTGGAAACAACAGGTTGACCAAGTTGGTTAGCAAAACTTCCTGCAAGAAAAAGGGCTGATGAGTCAGGTCTGAGCCACCAACTTGGAGCAATGAAAGTAAAAAAGATTCAACACCAGGGGTGGGTGAGATAGTAATGGTGATCATTAATCTTGACTGAGCATGGGCTGTGTCATTATGGGTATTATGGTAGGTGTTTACATACATTATCATGTGAATTTCTTGCAATAATTTTATGAAGCTGATACTATACTATCTTATTTTTTAAAAAATTTATTTTGCTTTGGGTGCATACTATAATCTGGCATTTCTCCTCGTTATCCCTCACCACGCCCCCACTGTCTCTCCCCTATCCCCACAACTGCCCCGAGTGTGTGATGCTCCTCTCCCTGAGTCCACATGTTCTTGTTCAACACCCACCTATGAGTGAGAGCATACGGTGTTTGACTTTCTGTTCTTGTGTCAGTTTGCTGAGAATGATGGTTTCCAGATTCATCCAAGTACCTACAAAGGACACGAACTCATCATTTTTATGGCTGCATAGTATTCCATGGTGTATATGTACCACATTTTCTTTGTCCAGTCTATCATTGATGGGCATTTGGGGTGGTTCCAGGTCTTTGCTATTGTACACAGTGCTGCAATGAACATACATATGCATGTGTCTTTATAGTAAAACTATTTATAGTTCTTTGGGTATATACCCAGTAATGGGCTTGCTGGGTCAAATGGAATTTCTATTTCTAGATCCTTGAGAAATCACCACACTGTCTTCCACAATGGTTGAACTAATTTACACTCCTACCAACTGTGTAAGAGTGCTCCTATTTCTCTACATCCTCTTCAGCATCTGTTGTCATTTTTTAGTGATCACCATTCTAACTGGCTTCAGATGATATCTCAATGTGGTTTTGATTTGTATTTCTCTAATGACCAGTGATGATGAGCATTTTTTTATATATTTGTTGGCCTCATGTATGTCTTCTTTTGAAAAGTGTCTGTTCATATCCCTTGCCCGCTTTTGAATGGGGTTGTTTTTTTTTCTTGTATATATGTTTTAGTTCTTTGTAGATTCTGGATATTAGCCCTTTGTCAGATGGGTAGATTGCAATTTTTTTCCCCATTCTGTTGGTTGCCAATTCATTCTAATCATGGTTTCTTTTGCTGTTCAGAAACTCTGGAGTTTGATTAGATCCCATTTGTCTATCTTGGCTTTTATGGTCATTGCTTTTGGTGTTTTAACCATGAAGTCCTTGCCTATGCCTATGTCCTGGATGGTTTTACCTATGTTTTCTTCTAGTATTTTTATGGCATTAGGTTTTATGTTTAAATATTTGATCCATTTGGAGTTAATTTTAGTGTAAGGTGACAGGTAGAGGTCCAGTTTCCACTTTCTGCACTTAGCTAGCCAGTTTTCCCAACACCATTTATTCAACATGGAGTCCTTTCCCCATTGCTTGTTTTTGCTGGGTTTGTCAAAGATCAGATGGTTGTAGATGTGTGGTGTTTCTTCTGAGGTCTCTGTTCTGTTCCATTGGTCTATGTCTCTGTTTTGGTGCCAGTACCATGCTGTTTTGATTACTGTAACCTTGTAGTATAGTTTGAAGTCCAGCAGTGTGATACCTACAGCTTTGTTCTTTTTGCTTAGGATTATCTTGGCTATGCAGGGTCTTTTGTGATTCCATATGACGTTTAAAGTGTTTTTTTTTTTTTCAAGTTCTGTGAAGAAGGTCATTAGTAGCTTGATGGGGATAGCATTGAATCTATAGATTACTTTGGGCAGTATGGCCATTTTCACGATAATGATTCTTCCTAACCATGAGCACGGAATGTTTCTCCAACTGTTTGTGTCCTCTCTTATTTTGTTGAGCAGTGGTTTGTAGTTCTCCTTGAAGAGGTCCTTTATGTTCCCTGTTAGTTGTATTCCTAAGTATTTTATTCTCTTTATAGCAATTGTGAATGGCAGTTCGTTCTTGATTTGGCTCTCTTTAAGTCTGTTATTGGTGTATAGGAATGCTTGTGATTTTTGCACATTAATTTTGTATCCTGAGACTTTGCTGAAGTTGCTTATCAGTTTCAGGAGATTTTGGGCTGAGACAATGGAGTCTTGTAGATATACAATCTTGTCGTCTGCAAATAGAGACAATTTGACTTCCTCATTTCCTAATTGAATACACTTTATATCTTTTTCTTGCCTGATTGCTCTGGCTAGAACTTCCAATACAATATTGAATAGGAGTGGTGAGAGAGGGCATCCGTGTCTAGTGTCACATTTCAAAGGGAATGCTTCCAGTTTTTGCCCATTCAGTATGATATTGGCTGTTGGTTTCTCATAAATAGCTTTTATTATTTTGAGATACGTTCCCACAATACCTAGTTTATTGAGGATTTTTAGCATACAGGGCTGTTGAATTTTGTCAAAGGCCTTCCATGCATCAATTGAGATAGATAATCTTGTGGTTTTTGTCTTTGGTTCTGTTTATGTGGTGAATTGCGTTTATAGACTTGTGTATGTTGAACCAAACTTGCATCCCCGGGATGAAGCCTACTTGATCATGGTGGGGAAGGTTTTTCATGTGCTGCTGGAATCGCTTTGCCAGTATTTTATTGAAGATTTTTCATCTATCTTCATCATGGATATTGGCCTGAAGTTTTCTTTTCTTGCTGAGTCTCTGCCAGATTTTGGTATCAGGATGATGTTGGTCTCATAAAATGATTTGGGAAGGATTCCTTCTTTTTGAATTGTTTGGAATAGTTTCAGAAGGAATGGTACCAGCTCCTCTTTGTATGTCTGGTAGAATTTGGCTGTGAATCCATCTGGACCTGGGCTTTTTTTTGAGTGGTAGGCTCTTAATTGCTGCCTCAACTTCAGACCTTGTTGTTAGTCTATTCAGGGTTTCAACTTCTTCCTGGTTTAAGCTTGGGAGGATGCAGGTGTCCAGGAATTTATCCGTTTCTTCCAGGTTTACTAGTTTATGTGCATTGGGTTGTTTGTAATAATCTCTGATGATGGTTTGTATTTCTGTGGAATCTGTGGTGATATCCCCTTTATCATTTTTTACTGCCTCTATTTGATTATTCTCTCTTTTCTTTTTTATTAATCTGGCTAGTGGTCTGTCTATTTTGTTGATCTCTTCGAAAAACCAGCTCCTGGATTTATTGATTTTTTGAAGGGTTTTTGGTCTCTATTTCCTTCAGTTCTGTTCTGATCTTAGTTATTTCTTGTCTTCTGCTAGGTTTTGAGATTTTTGATCTTGTTCCTCTAGCCCTTTCAATTTTAATGATAGGGTGTCAATTTTAGATCTTTCCTTGCTTGTCATGTGGGCATTTATGGCTGTATATTTTCCTCTAGACACTGCTTTAAATGTGTCCCAGAGATTCTGGTATGTTGTGTCTTTGTTCTCGTTGGTTTCCAAGAATATGTTTATTTCTGCCTTCATTTTATTGTTTATCCAGTCAACATTCGAGAGCCAGTTTTTCAGTTTCCATGAAGCTGTGCGGTTCTGAGTCAGTTTCTGAATTCTGATTTCTAAGTTGATTGCACTGTGGTCTGAGAGACTATTAGTTATGATTTCCATTCTTTTGAATTTGCTGAGGAGTGATTTATTTCCAATTATGTGATCAATTTTAGAGTAGGTGTGATGTGGTGCTGAGAAGAATGTATATTCTGTGGATTTGGGGTGGAAAGTTCCATAAATGTCTGTTAGGTTTGCTTGGTCCAGGTCTGAGTTCAAGTCCTGGATATCCTTATTATTTTTCTGTCTCATTGATCTGTCTAATATTAACAATGGGGTGTTAAAGTTTCGCACTATTATTATGTGGGATTCTCAGTCTCTTTGTAAGTCATTAAGAACTTGCTTTTTGTATCTGGTTTCTCCTGTATTTGATGCATATATATTTAGGATCATTAGCTCTTCTTGTTACATTGATCCTTTTACCATTATGTAAAGCCCTTCTTTGTCTCTTTTGATGTTTGTTGGTTTAAAGTCTATCTTATCAGAGATGAGAATTGCAACTCCTGCTTTTTTTTTTTTTGCTCTCCATTTGCTTGGTAAGTCTTCCTCCATCCCTTTATTTTGAGCCTTTGTGTATCTTTGCCTGTGAGATGTATTTCTTGGATACAGCACACAGTTTGGTTTTGGCTTTTTATCCAATTTGCCAGTCTGTGTCTTCTGATCAGTGTGTTTAGCCCATTTACATTTAGGGTTAATATTGTTATGTGTGAATTTGACCCTGCCATTTTGATGCTAGCTGGCTGTTTTGCCCATTAGTTTATGCAGTTTCTTCATTGTGTCAATGCTCTTTACCATTTGGTATGTTTTTGGAGTGGCTGGTACTGTTTGTTCTTTCTATGTTTAGTGCCTCTTTCAGGAGTTCTTGTAAAGCAGGCCTGGTGGTGATGAAATCTCTGTGTACTTGCTTCTTCATAAAGGATTTTATTTCTCCTTCACTTATGAAGCTTAGTTTGGCTGGATATGAAATTCTGGGTTGAAAGTTCTTTTCTTTAAGGATGTTGAATATTGGCCCCACTCTCTTCTGGCTTGTAGGGTTTCTGCCGAGAGATCTGCTGTGAATCTGATGGGCTTCCCTTTGTGGGTAACCCGACCTTTCTGTCTGGCTGCCCTTAGCATTTTCTCCTTCAACACTGGTGAATCTGATGGTTATGTGCCTTGGGGTTGCTCTTCTTGACGAATATCTTTATGGTGTTCTCTGTATTTCCTGGACTTGAATATTGGCCTGCCTTGTTAGGTTGGGGAAGTTTTCCTGCATAGCATCCTGAAGAGTATTTTCCAGCTTGGATTCATTCTCTCCGTCACATTCAGGTACACCTATCAAACGTAGATTAGGTCTTTTCACATACTCCCATATTTCTTGGAGACTTTGTTCATTGTTTTTTTACCTTTTTTCCTCTAATCTTGCCTTCTCATTTGATTTCATTGAGTTGATCTTTGTCCTCTTATATCCTTTGTTCTGCTTGGTCAATTCAGCCGTTGAAACTTGTTTATGTTTTGCGAAGTTCTTGTGCTGTGTTTTTCAGCTCCATCAATTCACTTATATTCCTCTGTAAGTTGTTTATTCTCATTAGCATTTTGTCAACTCTTTTTTTAAGGTTCTTAGTTTCTTTGCATTGGGTTAGAACATGTTCTTTTAGCTCAGAGAAGTTTCTTATTACCCCGATTCTCAAGCCTGTTTCTATCATTTCATCACACTCATTCTCCATCCAGCCTTGTTCCCTTGCTAGTGAGGAGTTGTGATCCCTTGTAAGAGGAGATGCCTTCTGGTTTTGGGTGTTTTCATCCTTTTTGC